CTTGCTCCCGGAGACCCGGTCCCTTTCGGGAGGTTAACAAGGGAGCCGTCTGAGCCCTAGTGACTGGGTTTTACCCCTTTCTCCTGCTCTTCTGGCCTGCTACTCTGTGCTACGCCCATGCTTACCTTGCTCCCGGAGACCCGGTCCCTCTCGGGAGGTTAACAAGGGAAAGTGTTCAGTGCAGACATGCAATGACATGAGACAAAGTATATTATGTGAACTGCTGTATGAAAAGTGAATTTACTCTGTAAATCTTCACCCAAATCAAAAAAAAAAAAAAAACTCGGTACTTTACAAATGACCAATAGCAATGTTTCTAAATGTGTAAAATGTTTTCAGAAAAAGTGTTTGTGTGTATAATTATTCTAGGAGTATGCAGGTGCTTTGATAAGTGAAACAGAAGATGTGAAAGAGTGAAACCTCCTCGCCCCAACCTGGTCCCTCCTCCATTGAAAATGCAGAATTCTTTCTAGCAGGTGAATATTCAGCCAACTGGCTTGTGTTTGTTTTTGTTTCTATTGGAAACTCTTTAAGGGAAAAGTCTTTATGTGTTGTTTCTTTGTGACTCTTAATGCTTTGCAGCATTTTAATTATTGGTTGAATACTGATCCATCCAGTATTCAACTCTTGACCATCTCTTCAAAAAATAGTTTTTTTGTAATACTACTATTTGTTGTATTAATAATGATTGTGTTTGTGTCCCTAGCATTCTGTTTTGTGCTTCTCACTCACTGCCATCAAGTTGGATCCAACTCATAGCGACCCCTTCCTTGGGTTTCTGAGGCAGTATCACTATGGAAGTAGATCACCACTTCCAAGGAGTGGCTGGTGGGTTTGAACTGCCAGCCTTCTGGTTAGCAGTCAAATGCTTTAGGCACACCATACCCATTGCATTTCACTTATTTTGCTGCTTACCAGTATCTTAAAAAAAAAAGAAAAAGAAAAAGCTTTTAAAGTCTCATTTCTGACTCCATTAGACCTTGAAATGTAATGGTGCTCAGGACAGTTTTCTTTGAGGCTCTGCATGGTCTGTCCTTTGAGGTTGATATCAAAGCACTGGGCTACAAGGCAGGAAGAGTCAGCTGTTTTCATAACTAATAGGGGCATAATTAAGTCCACAGTTTTTGAGCTTGCTGAGGAAAATGTAGTTGGAGAGACTCCTAGGCTTTCCAGAAATTAAGTTATACCTGCACACTATCTTTTCTTTTTCTTGTCCTTGATGGGCAATTTATTTCTCAAAAAGGTAAGGTATTTAAAAGACTAAGTGTTCTGAAGATGTGTATAGGAGGACTGGGCCCCTCTTAGTGATGGGAAAGTTGGCTAAGGGAAGAGCTATGGAAAAATAGAATAAGAAAAGCAGCCAACCTTCCTATAGTTAACGGAATTTACCTCAGAGCTCTTCTAATCAGGAGGATTTTTGTTTGGGAATAGTGGTAGCCATGGTGGCCATCTTTTAATTTTAAGACCACATGAGAATGTCCTGGAAGCTATTGATGTATACTGAGGTCTCTTCCTTTAGAAGGGAACTCATGACCCTAGATGATGTGGCTGGCAACTTCAGGGAAGAATGGTTTACCTGGATGCTGCTTAGAGAATTCTCTCCGTGGATGCCACCCAACACAGTTAGAAGAATGGGCTTTCAAAAGGTAAGAATCCTACTTTCTTTTAGAGGTAAGACTTAGATATTTGAGAGAACCCAGGTCTGAATGGTCTGTGTGGATGTTGTTCTCTGAGAGCTCCAGATCTCTGTGAGATTAACTGTTGCCTCCCTGTCTGAAAAAGACTAACTTCCATTTTTATGGCGCTTTATGGTTTGCAAATGTTTTTTATATTTATTGTCTTGTTAATATCTTGCCACAACTCTTTCATATATGCGTTATCACCCCCTCTTTCCAGTTAAAGACATTGAGGCTCAGAGGAGTGAAGTGGCAGAGGTGAGAGTCAAACCCAGGTCTTTATGGAAAAGGGGGAGCTCTCCTGATGTTATTGTTTTCTCCTATCACATAAAAAACACTTCTAGTGCTCTTTCTAAAATAGCGTGCTACCTCTTCCCCTTCTTTACTTCATATCAGTTATACAAGGAATATATGCTTATTGAAGAAAAAGACAAGTAAAAGGAAAACAAAAGTCATCCCTAATCCCACCATTGAAAAGTTATTATCCTTCTAGTCTTTTTCCTTGTTGTTGTTGTTATGTGCCGTCGAATCGGACCCGGCTCATAGTGACCCCTCCTTGGGTTTCCGAGGCAGTATCACTACGGAAGTAGATTACCCCATCTTCCTTCTGAGGAGTGGCTGGTGGGTTTGAACCGCCAGCCTTCTGGTTAGCAGTCAAGTGCCTTAGCCACTATGCTACCAGAGGTCCCAGTCTTTTTCGTTAGCAGATACATAATTAAATATAAATATATAGAGAGAGAAAAATTGGAATCATATTGTACATTCTACTTTCTTACTTATTTTATTGTTAACATATGAATACAACAATAAATATCTTCCTGTACATCATTTAAAATAACCATTTACTATTTTGTTGAATTAAAAAAAAAAAAAAAAACTCACTGCCATCGAGTTGATTCAACTCATAGCGACCCCACCTTGGGTTTCTGAGCCAGTATCTCTATGGAAGTAGATAGCCCAGTCTTCCTTCTGAGGAGTGCCTGGTGGGTTTGAACTTCTGGTTAGCAATCAAATACCTTAGGTACTACACCACCAATAGAATACAATAATTTATATTAGGTTGAACTTTATATTTGCCCATTTTTTGGACAATTTTGACCAATAAAAATGGCAATTTCATTTCATATAGTTCAGTTAAATATATATTTCTTGGTGGCTTAGTGCCTAAGGCATTTGACTGCTAACCAGAAGGCTGGCGGTTCAAACCCACCAGCCACTCCTCGGAAGGAAGGCTGGGCAATCTACTTCCGTGGTGATACTGCCTCAGATCTGAAACCCAAGGAGGGGTCGCTATGGAGTGTGTCACGTTTTGATTTTGTTTGTGGTAAGACATTTAGCTAATTTCCAAATTTTCACTAATGTGATAATATCTCTTAGCTAAATTTTTTTAAGTGTTATTTATTGAAGTATAATTAGCTAGTAATTAGTCATTTGTACAATTTTTATCATTTCCTTAGAATTTCCAAAATAGAATTGCAGATCAAAGAATATGTATATTTCTAAGGTATTTGATATTTTTGCCAAATGTCTTCCAAAAAGATAAAATCAATTTATTTATACCCACAGGCCTTATACGGAATATATTGAGAATTAACCATTTAATCCTCACAATAACCCTATGAGGTAGATCTTATTATTATCTCTATATTATAGATGAAGACACTGAAGGGGGAAAAAATGACACTGAGGCACAGAGAGTTTAAGTAACTTGCTTAAGGTCATTCAGCTAGTAGGGCAAGATTAGGATTTAAACCCAGGCAGTGTGACTCTTAAGTTTGCACTTTCTACTTCTGCAGTATATCATTGTTTTATAGGAGCCCTCGTGGTAAAATGGTTAAACTCTCAGCTGCTAACCAAAATGTTGGCATTTCAAACCCACCAGCCGCTCTGCAGGAGAAAAGATGCAGCAATCTGCTCCTGTAATGATTACAACCTAGGAAATACTATGGGCCATTTCTGCTGTCATAAAGGTTGCTCTAAAGCCATAATAGACTCAGTGGAACACAACAATAACATCATTGTTTTAATTTGGATTTCCTTGGTTACTGGTGAGGTTAAAAGATTTTTCATACCTTTATTGAATTATTTTTTCTTTTGTGAATTGCATATCATGTCTTACTCTTTTTTTTTTTTTTGAGTGTTTGTCTTTTTTCTCATCACTGTATTGACTATTGTCCTTCTGGGAAAATTTTAAAGCCCAGCATTATAGTTAACTTCCTTGGTTCTTTCTAAGGGTGAGGTCATGACAGCTTTGCTTCTGATAAAATTATCTCTCCAAATGAGTTTGGCCTTGAATCTTCAGGGATGAGTTAATGTGGTACTCTAGGGTTTGTATCACCCACGTATTATTTATTTATTTATTTTTAAATGTGAGGAAACTGGCTTTTTCTCAGCCTTTTGGGGAGATGCCTCTGTTTTATCACTTCACCCTGTTGGCCTTTTGATGTGACCCATTAGATTTTCCTTACGTTTCCTCTTTTACCTGGGGAAAAAAGAAGGACTGAATTTTGGTCTGGCCTTGTGTAATTGGCTCAGATTAACATACTGTGTCTACCTCTGTGTAGGTTTTCTAACCCAAGTATCACCTCTCAGCTAGAGCAGAAAGAAGAATCGTGGGTACTACAACTCCAAAATTTTGAGGAGACAAATATCCTAAGGGAAAGTCACACAGGTAAGATGTGAGTGCTTCCTGTGAAGAGGAAACTTCGCATTTCAGCCTTTGTTTAGATGAAGGATTTGGAAAGCTGCCCCAGACTTTTGTTCTTACTACTGTTGTTGTTATGTGCCGTCGAGTCAGACCTGACTCATAGCGATCCCTACTTGGGTTTCCGAGGCAGTATCACTACGGAAGTAGATTGCCCAACCTTCCTTCTGAGGAGTGGCTGGTGGGTTTGAACTGCCAGCCTTCTGGTTAGCAGTCAAGTGCCTTAGGCACTATGCTACCAGAGCTCCTGTTCTTATTACTAGAAATTTAAATTTGATTTTTCTGACAGTCAGTAATGACTGAGTGAAATCTCCATTTTAAGTAAGCATTTCTGTTTTGTATAGACTATAACATTTTTGAAAGGAGTTGCCTAGTTTTGCCCAGAGATACCACATATGGTATCTCTTGAAGAATATCAGGGTATACTTGAAGATTCACCTGGCCACCTTAAAATAAAAAAGTGTTGAGAATTCATGTTTTCTGTGAGCTTAATAAATTTTAATAAACTTTTCACAAATGGTGTATGATCAAATTAAGTGTAGTCTGATGCTGAAATGGTCATTTTAATCTTTCTTACTACTTTCTGATGTTTTTTCCTGGTGATTGATAACTTTATTTTCTATTATTTTTTCAGACTTTGAGAACCAGGTGGCAAAACTCAATCAGGACATTTCTGAAACAGCAGAACAACGTGGAACATCCTCAGAAAGGGCCAATAAAAATATTCCTTATTCTCCTAGTTGGGGAAGAAACTGGGAAAGGGACCTTGAATTAGAAGGACAACATGGAACTCTTCTAGGAGAGGGCCAGCAGGAACTCTTTTCACAGGAGAGGGATTTAAACAAGCTCTTGGATGAATATGTAGGAAAGAAGCCTGTGTGTGCAGAATGTGGAAAAAGCTTTAACCAGAGTTCCTATCTCGTAAGACACCTGAGAACCCATACTGGTGAGCGGCCTTATAAATGCACTGAGTGTGGGAAAGGCTTCAAACAGAGTTCAGACCTTGTCACCCACCGCAGAATACACACAGGAGAGAAACCCTACAAATGCACTGGGTGTGAGAAAAAATTCAGCGACAGCTCGACACTCATCAAACATCAGAGAACCCATACAGGTGAGAGACCCTATGAGTGCCCAGAGTGTGGAAAGACTTTTGTACGGAAGCCACACCTCATAATGCACCAAAGAACCCACACGGGAGAGAAGCCCTACACATGCCTCGAATGTCATAAGAGCTTTAGTCGGAGCTCAAATTTTGTCACCCACCAGAGGACCCACACAGGAGTGAAGCCTTACAGATGTAATGACTGTGGGGAGAGTTTTAGCCAGAGCTCGGATTTGATTAAGCACCAAAGAACTCACACAGGAGAACGGCCCTTTAAGTGCCCAGAGTGTGAGAAGGGCTTTCGAGATAGTTCTCATTTTGTGGCTCATATGAGCACGCACTCAGGAGACAGGGCTTTCAGTTGTCCTGACTGCCATAAAAGTTTCAGTCAGAGCTCACATCTGGTCACACACCAGAGAACACACACAGGTGAGCGACCTTTTAAGTGTGATGACTGTGGGAAAAGATTCACTGACAGCTCTGCCCTCATTAAGCACCAACGGATCCACACAGGAGAAAGACCCTATAAATGTGGCCAGTGTGGGAAGAGCTTCAATCAGAGCTCCCACTTCATTACTCACCAACGAATCCACTTAGGAGACAGACCCTATCAGTGTCCTGAGTGTGGCAAAACCTTTAATCAGCGTTCCCATTTTCTCACACACCAAAGAACACATACAGGAGAAAAACCTTTTCACTGTAATAAATGTGACAAGAGCTTCCGTCAGAAAGCACATCTTTTATGCCATCAAAACACCCATTTAATTTAGTAAAAAGACTTTAGTGTTTCTGCTATCCCTTTCCAGATTCCCATTTTTACTGTCTGAAGTACCCCAAGTAGAGAAAATCTGAGCCAGGATATCAGTAGCTCAAGTTGGGTGCTGATCGATTCTGACTTTTCCCATGTTATAATGGAGAAGATATACCTATAATTTCCATATATTGTGCTGAACTATTTTGTTCAATAGTTCAAATGCTAGCATTCCTCCAGCATTTTTGAATGGCTTTTGGGGAAATGTGAGTTTAATGGTTGCTGCCTGGTTATGAAAAGAAAAGAGATAATTATGTCTTAGAGATTACCTGTAAACCACATCTGTAGTGGCTGGCACAAAGTATATGGTCAATAAATGATCACATTATTACATCTTTTTTTTAAAAAAAAAAAAAACATTGTGGTTAGGGTGAAAGTTTACAGAGCAATTTAGTTTCCCACTCACCAATTTATACACATTTTGCTTCATGACTTCCCTTCAGTGTAACAGCACTCTTCTCACTTCTTTCCTGGGTTCCCTGTTTCCTTTTTCCCATCTTCCTGCCCCTTCCTACCTTGTGAACTTTGTTTTTGGTCAGATGCTGCCCTTTTGGTCTCCTGTGGTTGACTGTTATGAGGAACACATTCCTCGTGGGTGTCATTGTTCACTTTATAGGCCTGTTTATTTGAAAAGTGATCTTCAGGAGTAGGCTCAGTTCCAGGTTTGAAGGGTGTCTAAGAGCCTCTGGGGCCGGGTGCGGATGTGGCCTGACCGTGAAACTCCCCTCTTTTTAGGAGCTCTGGTGGCATAGTGCCTAACGCATCTGACTACTAACCAGAAGGCTGGCGGTTCAAACCCACCAGCCACTCCCTGGAAGGAAGATTGGGCAATTTACTTCTTTAGTGATATTGCCTTGGAAACCCAAGGAGGGGTTGCTATGAGTCAGACCTGACTCGACTACAGCGACTACAGCAGGTTTAAGAGATGTAGTCTTGAGGTTCCACCAGTCTTCATCAGACTAGTAAGTCTGGTCATTTTTTATGACTTTGAATTTTGTTCTGTATTTTTCTCCAACTCTGTCCAAGACCTTCTATTGTGATCCTAGTCAGAGCAGTCAGTAGTGGTAGCTGGGCACCATCTGGTTCTTCTGGTCTCAGGCTAGTGGAGGCTGTAGTTTGTGTGGTCCATTAGTCCTTTAGACTAATGATTTCCTGAGTCTTTTATGTTTTCACTCTTCTTTGCTCCAGACAGGAAAAGACCAATACATTATTATTATTAGTGATTAATACTTAAGATCTTTTATAAAGCCCTTAATGCAGTGCCTGTCCCTTAAAAGGCATGGATTGTACATGGTTGGTTGCATTTATCAGCCTTAGTACTAAATAAGGAAATAGTGCAGGCCTCCAAGGCCAAAACTTGTAAGGAGTTAGATTGGAACTAGAAGGTTTGTACTGTTAGCACAGGGATTTAATAAAATAGAAAACTCTTTCCCGATCTAGTGCTAGTCAGGCATTAGTCACCAGATGTTTCATTGCCACAACAAGGCAGAATTACTGTAGAGGATGTTCTCAGTCTTGCAACAGAGAATTTCAGAAACTTTTTATACAGCCGTGTATAATATAGAGGTTTGCATATGCATTTTTTCCTCCCTGGAGTCTTGGAAAATATGATGAACAAGCCAGAGATACCTGGAAGAGGACTGTAAAACTGTGAAAATGAAATTGCTGAAAATGTACAGTATTGTTGCTAATGTCTTTTAGCAAAGAATGCTGGTTAATATTTCTCTAGGTGTGCCATTTTCTCTCACAATGAAGGAATTCTTTTCTTTTATAGGTTGAAAAACTAAGGCCTGGAAATGCTAAATGACTCATTATGGGTCACATAGTTAACAGAAGAGCCAGGATTTGGCTTCAGGTCTCTAGATTTCCAGTCTGCAGTGCTCAACTACATGGAACATACCAACTTTGGGATTTGCTAGAGTGCTTCTGAGACTATAGGATTGGGGGACCCATATTACATCTCTTAACCCAGTCTGAATTTGGAAATGATGAAAGGAGTTAGCTTCAATTCTAGGGAGTTGTATTAGAATCCTGTGCTGAGGGCATCTCTGATCCTCATGCAGTGAGAGTGGAGAGGTAAGGGTAGGTACAAGAAGTTAATGGGGGAGTTCAGTGGTTACCACTCTTTAAAGAGTAATGTGGTGGATGGGAGGGTTTTTACCTTTCAAGTCTTCCTGCATCAGTACAGACTGAATTATTACTTTGGTCTTGGAAGACTAGTTCATTTTCTTCCATTATATGGAATGCCATCTCAGTGTTACAACTCACGGGGGATAGAACTCAGCTAATTTAGATCGTTCTTTGAAATGTTAATTAGGTAATTGACTAGAAAAAAGAAATATGGTTAATTCAGTACAGTGGTTCTCAAACTAGGGGCCCAGACCAGTAGCATCAGCATTACCTGGGAAATTGTTAGAAATGCAAACTCTCCATCTGAAACCCAGCCTCCTGAACCAGAAATTATGAGAGTGGCACTCTTTTTTTTTTTTTTTTTTTAATTGTGGTTTGGGTGAAAGTTTACAGAGAAAATTCAGCAGTTCACACACACGTTGTCTCATGACATTGACTACAATTTACCCCAATGCAATAGCTCCCCTCCCACTTCCTCCGATTGTTACCTCCTCCCCGTGCCCATCCCTTCATGCACTCCTGCCCCCTGAACTGTCTCCCTGTGCATAAACAGACCTTCTTTCTCCCATGATTGTTCTCTCCAAGAAGTGCATCTACCTCAGGTACATGCTCAACTCATGTGCCTGTCTTTTGTTTGGCTGGAAGCCACAGGTGTGGGTTCAATTCCAGACCTAAAGGGCAGCTAGGGACCATAGCTAGCCAGTAGTTCCACCAGGCTTTATCAGACTAGCAAACTTGGTCCCCTTTTTTTTTTTCCTTCCAAATGATTTTGAGTTTTGTTTCACATTGTTCTGACTCTCTATCCAGGATCTCCTACATAATCCCCCTCCGAGTGGTTGATGGTGTTAGCTGGGCACCATCTAGTTCTTCTGCTCTCATTGTCATATAGGCAGTGGATCACGTGTACCAGTCCTGAGGACTAATTGTTTCCATGTGTCTTTGGTTTTCTTCATTCTTCTTTGCTCTGGATGAGGAGAGACCCATCGTTGCATCTAGATGGCTGCTTGCAAGCTTTTAAGATCCCAGTCACTACTCACCAGAGTAGGAGGTGGAACAATGTTTTGTGTAGTATGTTATGCCAGTGGAGCTTGATGTCCCCTGTGACAATGGTCCCAAGCCCACAGGTTCAACTACTCACTGTGAGGGTGGCACCCTTAATAAGCCCATCAGATGATTCTGATGCTCAAATTTGAAAACTACAGCCTTAAAATTGAATCTTCTGAAAAAATCTCCAAACCCACTGCCATTGAGTTGATTCTGACTCAAAGCAACCCTAAAGGACAGAGTAGAACTGCCCTATAGGGTTTCCAAGGCTATAAATCTTTACAGAAGCAGACTGCCTCATCTTTCTCCCACAGAGCTACTTGTGAATTTGAACCCGCCAGTCTTTTGGTTAGCAGCAGAATGTTTAACCACTGTGTCACCAGAACTCCTCTCTTTTGCTAAACATAGAATCCTAGTATTACTCCTTAAAAAAAAAAAAAAAAAAATTGGGCCAATCCCCTCCATCGCAGTTGCTATGGGGTTGATTCTGACTCATGGTGACCTCTCTACTTTGCAATTGGTTAATGTATTCCTTACAAGCCTTGATCTAAAGTTCTCCCCCTTCTCTATCATATTTTTTGAAGAAACCTGGTTAATTTTCTCACATGTATGTAATTTGTAAATTGCATCCAATGATGTCTTTCAACAGACTCCTGTGTACTCTGCTTTCCTTTCATTGGTAGCTGGATATATAAATATGACCAGATTTGGAATTTTTGACAAACTGATATTCCATAGTAATCTTAAATACATTCATCAGAAGGTGCATAGTGTTATCTTGTCTCTCTTGATGCCATTAATAGTCTATTATTTTATTTGGGGTGGCTAAATGGTGAAATACATACACATACATACATACATATATGTGTATGTATTCGGAACTTTTTATTACGGTTTGGGTGAAAGTTTACAGAACAAATTAGTTTCCTATTCAACAATTTGTACACATTTTGTTTCATGACATTGGTTGCAATTCCCACAATGTAATAGTGCTCTTCCCATTTCTCCCTGTGTTCCCCATCTTCATTTGTCCTTCTTTCCTGCCCCTTCCTGCCATCTGAGCTTTGTTTTTGGTTAAATCCTACCTTTTGGTCTCGTATGGTTGATTGTTCTGAGGAGTGTGTTCCTCTCTGGCAATGGTAATATTTAATTTTATCATTTCTTCTTCAATTATTAAGTGAAATACTAAAAATATTAGCTGGAATACTTCTATAAGGAGAACTCCCCTTCATCAAATATTTGAGTTTCCTGAAGTACAGTTTATATAGGAACAATACAATAATTGCTTGAGTAGAACTCCTTTGTTTTTGTCTTTTAATGTTCCTAATCTTGGCCTCATGACCTAAATGGATCTCTAAGCCCTTGCAGTTAGACATTCTTTTCTTATAGGAAATTTCTGAATGGGTAAATCTCATAATAACTTTTCTAATGACCTTATTGCTTTTCTTTCCTGCTACTCCCAGTTTTGCTGGGTTCCCTTAAAGCAATGTGCTTAATAAATACTTGAGTGATTCCTTAGGGATGGAATCTCGGACATGCAAATTAATATTTCCCAATGCTATCCTGGCCTGAAACAAGAGAGGAAACTACATCCCCATTTGGGGGGAGTGATTTTACATCCCTTTTGTAGCACTGTGAGGAGCCCTGGTAACACAGTGGTTAAACCTTGGCTGCTAACCAAAAGGTTGGTGGTTCAAACCAACCAGTTGCTCCGCAGGAGAAAAATGTGGCAGTCTGCTTACTTAAAAATTTACAACTTTAGGAATCCAGTGGGGCAGTTCTACT